CAAAAAAAAAAAAAAAGACAAAAAAAAAAAAGAATAAAAGACAAATTTGAAGGTTTACAGTAAGTTGTAGGTCTGATGAGAAGTGAGCTATATTTGCTCTGCTTTGTAATATCAGCAAATAATAAGTATGACAGGAGCAATAAAAAATATTATGTGTTGGGCCGGCCCGGTGGCGCACTTGGTAGAGTGTGGCACTTGGGAGCGCGGCAGTGCTCCCGCCAAGGGTTCGGATCCCATACAGAGACCAGTCTGCTCACTGGTTGAGCGCGGTCCAGGCGCAACACCGAGGGTTGCGATCCCGTTGCCGGTCGCGGTACGGGCGCGACACCGAGGGTTGCGATCCTGATACCGGTCATGAAAAAAGACAAAACAGAAAAAAAAAAACAACCTGGAAAAAAATATGTTTGAACTAAACTTCATATAGTCGCACAAATTCTAAATGTGTCAAAGACTCAAGTTTGTTTAAATTATAAAGCCATAACAAAATGATTTATATACCTCTACACACAAACATACATTTGTATGTCTGTATTTTTGAAATAAAAATGGAGTACTCTGCACACTACTCTGCATACTCTCTGGAAGAATAAACACGCTATTGATAACAGTAGCTGCTTCTGGGGACGAATACTACTGGCCCATGAAAAAGACTGTAGATTTTTTTGCCTTTTAAAATTTTGTCCCATTTACTTATGTCACAAATTAGAAAAGAATAAGTAAATTCTTAAGGAAGAAAAAAAAATTCAAGCTAAATGAATTTTGAGGAAATATAGGTTATGGGCTGAATTATGTCTCCCCAAAATTTACATTGAAGTCCTAATCCCCACTACCTCAGAATATGATTGCATTTGGAGATAGTCTTTAAAGAGGTAATTAAGTTAAAATGAGGTCATTAGGTTGGGTCCTAATCCAATATGACTGGTGCCTTTATAAGAAGAGGAGATGAGGACACAGACACATACAGAGGGAAGACCATGATAAGACACAGGGAGAAGACGGCCACCTACAAACTAAAACCAGAGGCCTCAGAAGAAACCAACGCAGGCGACACCTTCGTTTCAGCCTTCTAGCCTCCAGAACTGTGAGAAAATTAATTTGTCTTGTTTAAGCCACTCAGTCTGTGGTACTCTGGCAGCCCTAGCAAACTAATGTTTATGTGTGTGTGTACATACACACATATACACATGCATGCACACACATATATGTATGTCTATGTATTTATTTACATATATACAGAATACATGCAGTAACAAAAAATTGAAAGCCAAGTTTAATTAGATTTTCTGGCTCTTCTCTGCAGCATAATTGGAAATGAACATTTTTTTTTTTAACCAAAAGATTTGTATTAATCCACTTGGATACTAGAGTTCTTTACTTTTTAAATAAGACTCAGTGTATTGTAATGGCACTTTTTTCTTACATAAATGCTGAGTTATAAATGTTAATTATCCTCCGTTACCTGGACAAAACAGATCGAGGAATTATATGACAGCCTCTTCAAGTCTTTCACAAAATTAATTGGTAATCTCATTGTATTTCTTATGGAAAATACTTGTATTAATTATCTTTAAAATTCTTAATGGAGTAACATTAACATCCATTTTCACTTCTTTTACTAATTCCAAAGTGGGAAGCAACAACTAAATGCCGACGCTCAAGCACCCCGATATCTGAGGACTGCACCTCCAAATCTCAGAATCCTTAGTCGGCAGTAGCGGAGGTTTCCTAGTGCTGACAACACCAAGCCAAGCGTTAAGATCCCCTTACCGGTCATCTTTTAAAAAAAAGACTATAATCATTTTTTATCATTAGACCCTTATGATTTATGCTTATATCTTGTTCCTTCTGACAATTCTTTTTTTGCCAAATTCAGGGCCCATGTTCAAAATAATAAAATTGTTAAGATGTCTTTTCCATCTAAACTGCTTTTCAGTTCCTCAGATGGCCACAGGGTAAACTGTAATTTCCCCCCTCAACTTATAAGAGGAAGGATACTAGAAATAATTAGGTATGCCTGGTGTTCTTCAGATTTTTAATTGGCTCAGTAATAAATGCTGCCCTGTTATCAAGTTCACAATATATGAAAAACTAACAAAATTGAAATTCAACCTCCTTAGGTTAATTATGTACAGTGTCCCTTGGTATCTGTGGGGAACTTTGCTTTTCTCCTACCCTTGCCAAAGGGCCCCTGCTACAAGCTATAGATAAGAAAGGAAATCTTCTGAAGAAATACCAGAAGAGTCTCAATCAAGAATCAGGTTCTCCTGACTGTTGACATCACAGGGAACAGACTCGGGGAACAAGCTTCTGAGTGAGGCTGACCTGTCTCATGGCCAGACACACACCTGTCAAAATGTACCAACGAACTGTGTCTGGATTTCCAGGACTCTCTTAGACTAGAAGGCAGCAATACTGTGAAAGAGACTGCTTAACCCATGACCAGAAAAAAAAAAAAAAAAAAACAATTAATTACCTAAAATGACATGAACTAATTTAATTGTGACTAATGTTCTGTTTTTCTTCTTGATCTATCTCTTACCCTCAATTCAACTATTTTATAGTTAAACAATTTACAAACTGAAGTGAAACACTCATTCAGTGGTACTTTGTTCCAGCTGACCCCTTAGAATTCAGGAAATAAAAATATAATAAAAACTATTACTACAAATTACAAGTTAATGAACTGTCAGGTAAACAAGAATAATGATTATGCGGAAAAATGACATGTTGATCTTTACCTACAAATTACTACAAGAATGACTGAATATTATGCAAGGGGCTTTTACTAAATTGTTTCACTTTTTATTTTTATTTATTTATTTATTTTATTTTTATTATTATTATTATTTTTGTCTTTTTTTTGTGACCGGTAAGGGGATCGCAACCCTTGGCGTCACCCACACCGCGCTCAGCCAGTGAGCACACTGGCCATCCCTATATAGGATCCGAACCCGCGGCGGGAACGCCGCTGCGCACCCAAGCGCCGCACTCTCCTGAGTGTGCCACAAGGCCGGCCCTTGTTTCACTTTTTATGATCATATTTACATACATTGAATAAAGATCATCTTCCATCCTTTTAGGATATAGTGGAATAAATCAAATACCATGCCAAAAATTTCACTTCATCAGTAAGCTAAGGCTACTAGTAAGAAACAGGGACTGTAATTTAAATGTGGAAATGATGCCTATAAAGTCCTCCCAGGAAACTGGTTGTTACCTGCTCTATTATCTATCGAATCACAGCCTCACAGGTGGTAAAGATGTCACTGAATTTCAACACACTTGGGCATCTCAAAGAAAGGGCAAAGTTGAATTGGATGGTTTCTGGTTCCTGAACTTGGGAGTCAAGCTGATCAGGGAATGGGGACAAAAACCCAAATACAACATGAACAAACAAACAAAAAAGCCACTGCTAGCACCTAAAAGTAAAGTATAACCCCAGAGGACTTACAAAGCTCAAGACAGAAGTTAACTTTTAGGCCTTAGTGTCTGACTCTAGTTCTGCTAAGCATACCAAAAAGATGCCGTATGTGCCCATGTAAATATAATACACGTTAAATTAATGATGCTGAATGACAAACTACTAAACCAACTTCTGTGGTCAAATCCCTGTCCTTAGGGACAGAGACATGACTGCAAGGAGGAAATGTGGAGCAAAGATGACTTTGCCTTGCCATCATTTTGATTCAGGATGCGTATCACATGCCGTAGTCAGAGAGGGAAAACAAGAAATGCTGCAGTCAGAGATAAACCAAGAGTAACAGGGTCACTGAAACACATAAAACCTTGAGCATTTCCTATAAGTTTAGAGAATCCCTAGTAAAAACAACTCTGGGGCCGACCCTGTGGCTCACTCGGGAGAGTGCGGTGCTGGGAGAGCTGAGGCTGCGGGTTCGGATCCTATATGGGGATGGCCAGTGCACTCACTGGCTGAGCGCAGTGTGGGCGACACCAAGACAAGGGTTACGATACCCTTACCGGTCACAAAAAGAAAAAAAAGAAAAGAAAAGAAAATGTTTACTAAAAGCAACTCTGTTTCTGGCTTTTGCAATGCTGATATCTGAAATGCTGTAACTTTTGCAGAAATAATCATCATATGAGAAAATTGACATTTCTCCACTATGAACAAACTAATTGTAAACTCAGTAACCTTGGTAACAATTTTGTGGGCTTTTCTCTATTACTTATATTTCTGTTATGTATACCTGATTTCCTTGCAACCTCTGCAAGTAAACTTCTTTTCCTTTCTAAATGCTTTTGCCCCTGACCTTTTTTCTCAAAGGGAAAGAAGAAAACCTTCTGAACCAATGTTAAAAGCCATATCAGACAGGTTCTACAACATCACTCCTGCTGGTCAGTGGTAAAAACAACCACGTTTACTTGCCCAGCTTCCCAAGAAGCACATAGTATGGGAGACACACATACTATGCTAACATACTGTAGCTTTTCTCCCAAAGAAAAAAGCACACATCCCTGATGCCTCCCAAACACAGCTCCTCCAACTGCCCTGGTGGGTGCCACTTACCTTGACAGAGTTGTCTTGACTGGAGGTAGCAAGAATGTGCTCACTGTCTGGGTGCCAGTCCAGGCCATGGATTTTGGAGAGATGGGCTGCTAGATATTCCACTGCTGTACTGGGTTTCTGCAACAGACCGGCACTGAGTTTGTAAGTGTAGAAAGAACAAGCTCTCACTACCTTGTATCCTTCATTAAAGTCATGCATCAGGCTGGAGCAGGAAGAAATTAGGCCCATTTACAAAGTATGTGAAGAAGAGCTGGATGACTTTTGGTGGTGTTTTGTTTGGCTTAAACAAAACAAAGCAGAGTTTCTGAAGGATCGAGACAGTACGTGGTAGTATTTTGTATGCCCACTCAGCACCCAGCAGACTATTACATGGTTGACACTCAATGTCCTCCCCACAAAGGCTGAGGATCTCTAGCCTGAGGCTTCACAAAGCACGAAGCAGTATTTACACCTCAGGCATTACAACCCAACTGCCTGGCAGTAAGATGCGGGGGAGGCCCTTTCCCTGAATCAACATTCTCACTGATGCCAACATACCAAACTTCCAAGAGACTTCCCATTACTGCCACAGCCTATGACCTGGTACCTTTTCATGCCTAATGCTACATTAGCTGCTGCAGTGAGAATATATGATCAATCTACAAGCTATTTTGAGGCTGATGGACTGTCTACACTTCTGGGGGGGTATTTGAGCATAATGGGTCGCCTAATGCTACATTAGCTGCTGCAGTGAGAATATATGATCAATCTGCAAGCTATTTTGAGGCTGATGGACTGTCTACACTTCTGGGGGGGTATTTGAGCATAATGGGTACTCTGCCTCAGTGCTCTGTACCAGAAATATTCAGGATGGTATGTACCCTAGAACAATCAGTTTTCACTTTGCAAATAGGGGCATGGATAAGAAGTCTGCTGAGTATTCTGGAATAGTGTCTGGTCCCTAAGATAGTATCTGGTGACCTCAGAGATAAACTCCCTATTATTATCTTTATTTTAAAGATAAGAAAACCACAGCTTAGAGAAGTTACAGGGACTTACCTAATGTCAAAATTAGGAGTCAGCAAAATGGGGCCCTAATTTAGGTCAGGCCAAGTTCATTTTCTTTTCTTTTCTTTTTTGTGGCTGGCTAGTACAGGGATTGAACCCTGAACCTTGGTGATATCGGCATCATGCTCTAACCAACTGCGCTAACTGGCCAGCCCGGAATTCATTTTCTTCACCACTGATCATAATGCCTCACTTCCCTACCTTCCATCAACGTCAATCAGATTAAGAAGTAAATGTCGTCTGGTACTTTGAGCTTAAAAAGGCAATTTACCATGCTGTACATGGTCCCCCAGACTCATAACATCCTCTTCACACCCTCTGGAAGGGACCAAAGACCAACTGAGGGGGAAAAAAGAGATTACTCACCCGCTTATCCCATATCCGTACATCACCATCATGGCTGGTGGCAAGGCAGTTAGCATTTTTTTTATTCCATTTGACCTGGGAGGCACCCGCTGCAAAGAAAAATCAGGGAAGAAAGCTGCAGCCCTCAACACTTTTGGAAACATACTGAAGCATCTCCAGGGGAGATGGATAATGAGTTCTGGTTGAATAAGCACAGAACCCTTCAAGCTTCTATGATTGTACCAACTCCACCATTACAGATAAAATGAAGCCCCCCAAAATGAATGAATAAACACATGGGAACAGAATCACAGTCACCTACTTGAGCAAATAATCTCAGGGAAAAAATCTACAGGTTCTTCTGAGCAGAATCAGCAGGAAAATGCAGTTTCTTACAGAGCAGTAGTTGAGCATGGCACTGCTGGCTGGTAATTGACTCGTGACACAACCTGGCCTTTCATCACCCCAATGACACCAGCTTGTGCTCCTACTGAGAAGAACCTCAGCTCTCATGCCAGCTCCTTCCACTTTTTGTTGTTTTTGAGGAACAATCTTGGAAAAACAGTCTTGAACAGAAGCTCAGCTGAAGAATAAGCCCCAGTGTTGACAATTCTGCTCTCAGGGCTTATGTGCTCCCCTCCTGATTCTCATCTCCCCATCAGCAGAGTAGACATGGCCATTGGCACAGTGCTGAGTCAGGGAAAGAGAACACCCATGGCACTGGACGAACTCAGTCTTTTTCCCTCTCTCCTAGTACAGAGAGGCAACAATAGTGACGAAAGAACTACATAAGACAGGAAGCATAAAGTGAGATGCCAGAAAAGCACTGAGACACGGAAAACCGGGACATAGTGGCACTTCTAACAGACTCAAAAAAAATCAAGCTAATCAAGTTAAACTAGAACCAAACTGAGGGCTCTCCCTCCTGCTTCATCTTGTCCTTGCTCACACAACACATGATATTGCACATTGACAAATTTCCCTTTGGCTGGGTGTTTATCACCAGGAAACCCATAGTAGATCCAGGGCTTTGGAGAGCAATGTGATCCAAGAAGTCCAGAGAGTGAGACAGAGCAAGGGCTCAGAATCTAACAGGAAATAGAGAGTGAAGGCTCAGGACCTGTCCTTGCCCAAGGATATGTTGTGCTGGTTTGGGTGAAGCTGTTTGTTCCTCTTATTTTTTCTTGACACATAGGACATCTTAAGTCATGTAAGAACAAATGTTGGAGATCACTGAAGATGAAGCAAAGTAACATATTACTTGAGATACTCAGTTTCTCTGCAAGAAAAGGTATCAGCTAGAGGAGAAAGTAAGTAAGAAGTGCTTGCTCTCTCTCTTGACAGAGTTACTTGAAGAGTTCTAAGAAAATATATTTTTCTCAGTGAGGGGCCCATCAGAACACAAAGGCTCCCAAACGACTCTGAGAACCCCCTAATCAAACCTGCTTTACTGGGATAGCAACACCTGGGACAACTGGAAGTCCCAGGCTGTTAAGAGCTCTCTGACAGAGAACACTCAGGAGCACACACAGACATGCTGTTACTGACTTCCTATCCCAGAGGGCATAAACAATGTGCTCTCTGATGGACAGAGACCGCAGACTCTTGGGAGCAGGCAGCATCCACGGCAGCACCTCTTAGGGAATATTAGACATCGACATAAAGGTTCACAAGTTTATAAAGGTCTATAAGCCTCTCATTAGCCACTTTTCTACTAGGGTAGCTTTGCCACCACTGAGAACCCTCACTGAGGTGCAAAAAGGAAAGAAGTCTCTTACTTCTATTTTTGACAAGGACCTACAGCAGAAAAGAAAGCAATTAGAATGAGTGGGCTGAAAACAAGAACCGTCTTTCTTTTGGGGGTTCCTCTAAAACCAATTTAACTTAGAAACCTTTAAGTGTAAGTAACAATGCCAGGGGAATGTGATTTAGGCATGTGTTTTTTTATTCAGCTACATGTCCTCTACAGCCATGTCTATGAGCCAGACTATGTCTCAGATCACAGGTGTTTGATTCCTACAGCCACACAACCACCATTTATTAAGCATCTCCTTGGGTCAGGCACAAATGTCTGTAATGCACAAATGTAAACACAGGTCTACAGCACCGAAAAAGACAGACATGGTCCCTAACCTCACAGATCATAAAATCCAGCTGCTTAATACAATCATGCTTAAATGCCTTTAAATAATGAAGCATAGGGGGGCAGACGAAAAAAGAATCATCATGTAATCCTTTTGCAACAAACACCAAATATGTATTCAGATGTACCAAGATGATAGAAAGGAATAGGATTTAAGATACAGATAAAACATGTTTTTATCAAGGATGCCAAAATACTAATGACTGGGCTTGATCACTGTAAGTTATACCAGTTTTATACCCATGTTCTACTCTCAGGAAGTGGTGAAAATACTCCCTAATAGCCCTAGTTGAGAATTCCAAAAATAGTCTATTCCAACTAAGCAATTAAAACAGCTAGATCAGAAAGTAATTTTAAAAACTCAGTTCATCCACATTAAATGACACTGTGGGAATACAATCAGCATAATATAGGTTGTGGAGAAACCACAGAACAAACCACCTGGTTTCTTCAATAGATAAACTGCAGGAAAACAAAACAAACAAATACAGGTCTGGCTGGTTAGCTCAGCTGGTTAGAGCTCAGTGTTACACCACCAAGGTTAAGGGTTCAAACCCCCATACCCGGTCAGCTGCAAAAAAAGAAAAAGAAAAAGAAAGGAAACAAACCCAAAAATGAGAGGGAGAATATATCTACAGTCTAAAAAAGATGTGAAACATATCAATCACTTCTAAGTATGGACTTTATTTGGATTCTGACTCAATTTGTAAAAAGAAAAAAAAGAGACTATTAGGGAAATCTGAAAATACTGCTTAGATGTCTGATGATATTAAAGAGCTATTGTTCATATTTTTAGGTATGTTAATGGTATTATGGTTACTTCTTTTTAGGGATTTTTCTTTTGTAAAAATACATACAAAAATATTTGTTGAAGAAATTATATGATACTTGGGTTTTGCTTCAAAATAATCACAAGGAGGGCCAGCTCATGGCTCACTCGGGAGAGTGTGGTGCTGATAACACCAAGGCCATGGGTTTGGATCCTATATAGGGATGGCTGGTTCGCTCACTGGCTGAGCGTGGTGCTGACAACACCAAGTCAAGGGTTAAGATCCCCTTGCTGGTCCTCTGTAAAAAAAAAAAAAGAAATCACAAGGGGGATGAGAGTGGGAGGTGGAATGTTGGGTGGAGTTAAAGATGAAATAAGATAGGCCATATGATGACTACTGTTATAGCTGACGGTAAACGCAAGGCAGTTCACTTTCTTCTCTCTATTTCTATATACATTTGAAGATTTCCACAATAAAACATCTACAAACAAACCGACTTGGCTCCTGTCCTTGAATTCTGAAATAGGTTTCGGATCCATATTCTGGCTTCTGAGAACAACCTAAAGCAAGCTCCTTGCAATGTGGGACTTATACCTGCACCCAGCCATGGTGGAGCACAAGGCATGGGTGGTCAGAGTGTGAGAAGGAATGGAAGAGGAAGGAAAGGGAAGAAGACAAGCCCAGGAGAAGCGTACACTCACCTACAGCAGATAGTGCCACAGTAGGTTTCCTTGTGTCTCTGAAATATAAAAATCAGAAATCAAATGCCAATTCAAATGCCACCATCTGCCTGGTGCTTTTCACCCTCTGCACACATTTCGTCACTTTCCTCTCAGAGGGAGCTTGGAGTTAGGCATGCTGTAAGGCCTTAAAAAGAACAAGTGTAAAGAGAGACCTGTTTCCCTCAAGGCAGATGAACTTTATCAGCCACTTCAATTGAGGCTGAGCCTGAATTTCAAATCATACAGTCATAGCCATAGAAAACATATTACAGGGTGCAGAATGGCCTGGGTAACCCTGATGCAGAGGGAGAGAATCCCCTCCTGATGCCATTGCTCCTAGTAACAACAAGGTGACGGTCGTGGAAGTACACTCTGCAAGAACATTCCCAACAGCATTTCAAAGGTAGATTAAAATATTCTAGATGTTCACAATAGCCACGAGGTGGAAGCAATAGATGAATGGATAAACAAAATGTGGTATGTCCAAAGAATGGAATATTATTCGGCCTTAAAAAAGAAGGAAATTCTGATGTATGTCACAAGAAAGAACCTTGAGGACATTCCGCTAAGTGAAATAAGCCAGTCACAAAATGATAAGTACTTCATGATTCTACTTATAGGAGGTAGTTAGAGTGGTCAAATTCATAGAAACAAGGTAGAAGGGTGGTTGCTGGGGGAAGGAGGAATGGGGAGTAATTGTTTAATGGTTAGAGTTTCAATTATGCAAGACAAGTTCTAGAGATGTGCTGCACAACAATGTAAATATACTTACTACTGAACTGTACACTTAAAAATGGTTAAGATGGTAAATTTCATGTTATGTGTTGTTTACCACGATTTAAAAAAAAAAAAAAAACACTACTCTGGATACAAGGGGAGACTCTTGGAGAGAGAGGCTCCACAGTTCACTACAAAGTCAGAAGAGCAACTTCTCCACCAAACTGCAAAATGAGGCAGCACCTCGGGCTGAAGAGGCCAGACAAGGCAAATCTGTGGCTCAACTTACTGTTTAGAAAACCTGAGGAGGGCTAGCTGGTTAGCTCAGTTGGTTAGATCATGGTGCTGATAGCACCAAGGTCCAGGGTTCACTCGCTGAGCCAGACAGCCATCAAAAAGAAAGAAAATCTGAGGAGGAATTGTCAGTTCAGTGTCTTTAAGTCACGAAAATACTTGTTTTGTGTAAAAGAGGGATAATCTAATCTTGCCCCATAGCCCCCTGGGTATTTGTTCCCTCTGCCATTCCCCTGGATTTTGTGCTTGTCCCCCCTCTGTCATTGCCTTTAGTCCATTCAGCTCTAACGTGCTTATCTGTATGTAATGCTGGGTCATGTCAGCCGCACATCCTTACCTGCCTAAGAGACCATCTTTCCCTGATCTGTCTGGTCTGTTCCACCTCAATACCTGGCTTGTCTTCTGCCTATAGTACCAATCAGTAATGTAAAACATCACAAAGCCACTGCCATGAGGGAAACAGAATAGCCTGGTGAGGGGAGCTGGTGTCCAGCCTGGGGGACTCTACAGATGTCACCTCTACCTACATGGCAAAAGGCACTTTGTCCTGCAAAGGGAGATACTGAAGAACTTATGATGATCCAGGGTTATGAAGTGCCTGAGCTGAGTGCTCCTTTACTGTCTACTCCATGTAGTATAACCCTGTGAGATGGGTATTAGCCCTCTTTTACAGGTGGGGAATTGAAGACTCACAAAGAGCAAGTAAAGAGAGCAGCAGATGTGTCTCCTAGCACTGCCTGCTGTAGCAGACGTGTGTCTGTGCCCTGTCAAAATACCTCTCACCATCACTTCCCAATTCAGGAAACTCTGGATCGATTTGTGAATGCCAGCACCTGTGTTTCCTCGCCAAAGGGATTCCCCTGGCTGCTAAGGCCTGCTGCGTAATCCTTTGAGACAAGCCTGAAGTGCCACGGAATTAAGAGCAACTGGGGGCAGCCTTCACTAATGACTGACAGTTGAGCACTCAGTGGGATACCTCTGAGGAGGGAGTTTTACACTAGCACCCAGCACTCCCCAATAAGATTAAGCTCTACCTGTTCACAGGGGTACCCAGTGGATAATGCTCCCTCTACTTGAGGACTTCCCAACCCTGCCTTTCTTCTCCAGCCCCCTACCAGTGTTTTTTTCACCTCCTAAATAGTGTATTTGAACTCAAACCCTTGTCTCAGGCTCTGCATGTAAGGGAAACCAAACTAACACACTTGATCTCTAAAAATAAAGGTCCCAAATTGTCCCACAACCAAGTGGATCTGCCTGTTAATTGTTCTTACTTGATATCCCAAATGTAGATGTAGGTGTCCACAGAGCTGGTAACCAGGAAATCTGGCTCGAACACTGCCCAGTCTAAGTCACTAGGACATAAGAAACAGAATAAAGAAAAGAAAAAAGTTCAGAATCTAGTTCCAAAGCACTAGCAAATCTAGTCTCCAGTGACTTCAGAAAATCATTGTTAATGGGCTTCTTAACATGGTTTAGTTGAGAATCTCCAAAGTTCTTTGAGAATGAATGAGTTACCTGAGCTCAGGAGGAAACTTTCAGGTTCTTCTCTATAGTCACCAACTATACTATCGCCTGCTCCCAAAAAAGAAATGGAGCATTTCAACTTAAAATACACACACACACAGTCTCTCTTTCTCTCTTAATAAACAAAAGAAAACACACAAAGTAATCTTTGAGTTATCATTTTCTAAATCAGACTCCACCACAGGTACCTTGGATAAACCCAACATCTCTGAAGCAACAGCGAGGTGACAAGCTGCCATGTAACTTTCAAGGAGGGCTGGCAGGCTTCTGGTCCTCCTTACCAGTACCCTCACTCCTAGAAAGGCAGTTACTCTACAGAACACTTTGCACAGACCCAGATGTCTAACCTTTCCCATCGCTTCAAGGTCAGCTTCCCCCACCCACCACCCCCATACTCCCTGCTGCTACTCCCCAGAAAAAGTTTTCTCAAACCAGAAACAGCGACCCTGGGAAAGAATGGATCCAGGAACACTCCGGAAGCCAAGTGGAAGGCCCCGAATGTGAGGCACCATGCATTTGGGTAATGAACCGTGCAGCAGGAGTCCTGTGTGGTGACCACAGCTGCCAGAGAAGAGCAGAGGGCTGCTCTCTGACGTCTCCACACGTCTCAGGCACTGCTGATTGTGAATGGGGGACTGTGGCGCATAACCTTCGTCTCCCTCCTGAGGTAAAAATCAGGTCTAGGGCCGGCCTGTGGCTCACTCGGTAGAGTGCGGTGCTGATAGCACCAAGGCCGCGGGTTCGGATCCCATATAGGGATGGCTGGTTTGCTCACTGGCTGAGCGTGGGGCTGACAGCACCCAGCCCAGGGGTGAGATCCCCTTACCGATCATCTTTTAAAAAAAAAAAAAAAAAAAAAAAATCAGGTCTAATCCTTTCCTCTGGACTAGGCTGTATCTGTCTAAGTGTCTTCTGGGACTGGAGTCAACAGCTACACAAATGATGCTTCCCAAACACTGGCTGTCCTTCCCCGTGCTCTTCACCATCACTTCAGTGAACACTAATGACCTGTCAGCCACCCAGGGCCAAGGCAACCCAGAGAGTAAAGCCCTGAGAAAAGGACATCTTCATTTTGCTCCCCAAAGGACTGTGTCAAAGCGAAACAAGCCAAAAGGGCTGGCCGATTAGCTCAGTTGGTTAGAGCATCGTGCTAACACCAAGGTCAAAGGTTCAGATCCCTGCACTGGCCAGCCACAAAAAAAAAAAAAAACAGAGGCCTAGAGCTATGGATGGCTGGTGCCTACCTGATCACACGGGTATGGCCTTGCAGGGTTGTGCCAACTTCCCCACTCCCGTCTTTCCACTTATAAAGGTCAACGCGTTGGTTACTCTGAAAAGGAATAAGGCAGCGGGTAGCATAATATGTACATCAGAACCTATGCTCTCACCCCAGTCTGCTTAAGGAGGAGAAGAGGAAGCCAACATCCATGGCGGGGGTCCTACAGGTTGAACTTTTTAAAAAGCCATCAGAAATAAGCATAATTAACATTTGCTTGGCCGGCCCGGTGGTGCACTGCTACAGTGCACCACTTGGCAGCGTGGTGGTGCTCCCGCCGAGGGTTCGGATCCCACATACAGACCGGCCGCTCACTGGCTGAGCGATGTGCGGGCGCAACACCGAGGGTTGCGTAATAACTTCGTATAGCATACATTATACGAAGTTATACGATCATTCTACTGAATGATTGAAAAAAAAAAAAAACATTTGCTTGAGCTCAACTCAGCTTGGTACTATTAAAAGGAACTCATCTTGAACAGTCAGAGCTGAACTGAAGCCACAGACACACTACTGCATATGCACTTTATGCGCTATGGAGCCATCCCCCAAACACTAGAGGAACTTTGACCCCCTCCAAAAGTCACACACTTATCTCTCCAGCTGCTGTCACATTAGATGTTTTCAGCTTGCCCTTCCCAAATGCCCAAAGTCCATCTACCATACCTTAAAATTACTGACACATGAGAAAGAAAAAAATAACACCACCGAAAGGGTGTCCTAGAAGGCAAAATTATGCAAGACTCCTTGAAATACGCCTACATCAAATTTCTCAAAAGGGTAAGCAGAAAGAGTCAGGGAAAATGGATGAGAAGAAATCACAACTACAATAGGAAAAAGGAAAAAAAACCCACAAAACTTCCATCAAATACATTTCACTTAAAGAAACAACAAAACAGCAAAGGCTCCCTAAGTATCATGAGTTTATGAAACATACTGAAAGTCAATAAAGTTTACTAATGGACTGACAACAATGGCAGACCATTTAATAATTTATGAATTCATATATATAATTGACTGAGTTTCATTCTAGCTCACACACAGATGTATAAAGCACTGATATTTTTATTCTGAAACGCCAGTTTTCAAATCTAAATAAGTAAGGTTCTTGTAAAAAGGTTAGGATAGGATTCAAAATAGTTTCCAAAGGGAACAGGAATGAAAAGAAGTCCCCTCATCTTATAATAATATTCTCTACCATTTCCAGAGGGTCTGCTAGTGCCAGTATACTAGGCACCTTAATGAATCTGACCTCTGATCTTTCCCACCACACTGCATAGTGGGTGTTATCACTCACATTATAGAAGAGGCAACTGAGGCTCAGAAAGTTAAGTGACTTGCTTAAGGTAAAAGAGCGAATGTTAAAACCAGGACTTGGACTTTGCCTAACTATAAAGCTGTTTCTCAAAAGGTTCCCTTCCAACCAAGAACAACAGAAGGAAAAAAACAGATAAATTGAACTTCATCAGTATTAAAACTTCTGTGCATCAGCCATTATCAAGAAAGTGAAAAGACAACAAACAGAACTGCAGAAAATATTTACAAACCATATACCTAATAAAGGTCTAGCATCCAGAATATATTTAAAAAACTCTGATAACTCAACAGCAAAAATACAAACCACCCAATTCAAAAAAGGGCAAAATCGTGGGGAGGGGAATGGGGGAAAAAAATAAAGGCAAAGGACTTGAATAGACATTTCTCCAAAAAAGATACATAAATGGCCAATAGGTTCATGGAAAAATGCTCAACATCATTAATTATAAGGGAAATGTAAATTAATAACATATAATAACGTATCACTTCATACCCACTAGGAGGCTATAATTAAAAAAAAGAAAAATAGAAAATAAATATTGGCAAGGATGTCGAAAAACTGGAAACCTTGTGCATTGCTGATGGGAATATAAATGGTTTAGCTGCTGTGGAAAACAGTTGGGTGGTTCCCTCAAAAGGATGAACATAGAATTACCATCTGACCCTGCAATTCCACTCCTAGGTGTACACCCCAAAGAACTGAAAACAAGTACGATGGTATGTCAAAAAACAAGTACGATGGTATGTCAAAAAACAAGTACGATGGTATGTCAAAAACTTCGCAGGAGGGCTGGCCCACGGCTTACTTGGGAGAGTGTGGTGCTGATAACAGCAAGGCCAAGGGTCCCGATCCCTATATAGGAATGGCCGGTTAGCTCACTTGGGAGAGCGTGGTGCTGACAACAACAAGTCAGATTAAGATCCCCTTACTGGTCATCTTTAAAAAAAAAAAAAGAGGGCCGAGCCCGTGGCGCACTCGGGAGAGTGCAGTGCTGGGGGCGCAGCAGCACTCCCGCCGCGGGTTCGGATCCTATATAGGGATGACCGGTGCGCTCACTGGCTGAGCGTGGTACAGCCGGTCTCAAAAAGGACAAAAAAAAAAAGAAAAAGTTCACGGGAAAATGTAATTAAAAGATAATATGGGGCCGACCCTGTGGCTCACTCGGGAGAGTGCAGCACTGGGAGTGCCAAGGCTATGGGTTCGGATCCTATATAGCGATGGCCGGTGCGCTCACTGGCTGAGTGTGGTGCGGGTGACACCAAGCCAAGGGTTACGATCCCCTTACCAGTCACAAAAAAAAAAAAAGATAATATGAATCCTTCCATGAACTTTTTGAAGACCCCTCACACATCCACATGCATGTTCATATTAGCACTATTCACAATAGCCAGCCAAAATGTCCATTGATGGATGGATAAACAAATTATGGTACATCATACGAGAACAGTATTCAGTCATAAAATGGAATGAAGTTCTGATATCTGCTACAATGTCAATGAACTCCAAAACATTATTCAAAGTAAAAGAAGTCAGACATAAAAGGTCACTGATTGTATGATTCCATTTTTATGAAATATGCAGGACAGATAAATCCACAGAAACAGAAAAAGTGTACTTGTGGTTGCCAGGGGCTAAGGGTGAGGGGAATGGAGAGAAACTGCTTAATGGGTAAGGGGTTTCACTCTGGAGTGATGGAAATATTTTGGAAACAAACAGAGGTGGTGATTACACAACATTGTGAATATAGTAAAGGACACTAAATTGTTCACTTTAAAATGATTGTCAAAAAACAAACAAAAAAGGCTGTCTTCCTTACCACTCCTGAACAAATGCAGTGTTAATCCACTTGCATCAAGTTCTGAGGAGTCAAACTAAATCAGTGGTTCCCAATCTAGGGCTATTTTGCTTCCCAGGGGAAACCTGACATGTCTAGAGACATCTTTGGTTGTCACAGTGAGGGGGAGAGGGGTGCTACTGAGATCTAGTAGGTAAGGGCCAGGGATGCTGCTAAAAATCCTACAATGCACGGGACAGAACTCACTAAGAAGAAGTATCTAGCCTAACATGTCAAGTGCCAAGGTGGAGAAATTCTGGACTAAACGACCAGGAGTTGAGGGTGAGAGGAAAGCAAAAGAGCCCAGAGGTGTAAGCTGACAAGAAGAGCATTCTTCTAACACCCATGAAAGAGACTGAGAATGAAAAATCAGTGACTTACTTGCCCCTTCTCTTTCAGAATAGTCCCAAAAAGCAGTTCAAACCCAGATATGGTTAAAGTCAGATTCTGGTTTTCTTTTGTTTCGTTTTGTTTTTTGGCAACTGGCCAGTATGGGGATCGAAACCCTTGACTTTGGTGTTGTAACACTGCACTCTAACCAACTGAGCTAACCGGCCAGTCCAGATTCTGTTTTGGAAATGACCAGGGAGAGCAGCTTTTTGTCCCTTCTCAAACTGACAATGCTGCTCTTATTTCTTTGCTTATGTGCTTTCCTGATTTTAGACAGAGGTGTAAAATGGTCCCACCCCCAGTTAACAAGAAGGACTTCTTTAAATATTCTCCTTCCAGCCCAATGCAAAAGGGGCAAAATGTTTAGACCTCCATTGTTCTAGGAGAATAGAATAATGATATGGAATCTGGAGAAAGATGCCAGAGATGATCTAGTCCAGAATCTTTCTGGGTCATGAATCCCTGAGAAAACCTAAGAAGGGCTCACTAGTTAGCTCACTAGGTTACAGCATGATGCTGATAATACCAAGGTCAAGGATTCGGATCCCCTTATCTGCCAGACACCAAAAAAAAAAAAAAAAAAAAAAAAAAAAAAAAAAAAAAAAGAAAAGAAATAAAACTTATGCATGTTGCTCCTGGAAAAACTCACACATAAACAGGCACATAAAATTTGAGATGGTTAGCCAATCTAATGAATCCCAATCAAGAAGGAATTCCTTCCTTTGAGTAGAAGGGTGTAGGGAGTCTCCTGAGCCCTCTGAAAGTCATAAAACCAACCTTAGACCAGTTCCCCAGGTACCCTCTTTAGAATGTCTTTCAAAGTCATCTGCCATTTGGCCACTGGCTAGTTACACTGCTGCTAATGAAAATGCATTCTCACCACACACAGAAATGAGGCATCTACCTGTTTCCTTTTCAAAATCTAGGTTCCCCCCTGGAAAAAAAAATCTGGATTCGGTCCCTAGAAATACAGGGCCTGATATCAATGGGACCATCAAACATTCCCACATATATTTAATGTGCAATTTGCCTCTGTCTTTCTTTCAGAACTATGCAAACCTCTTTTCCAACTGAGCAATGAGAATTGTATTCTCTTCACACAGGATGTAGACCTGCCAGCTCCAGACAACACATTTAATAGTATTCTTCTATATTCCTTAAATGAGCTCACCGAAGCTGCAAAATAGTGCGCAAAGCTGTCATGAGGATTCCACTGCACGGCTCCAATGTCCCATTTGCTCTGGCGAGAGATTTTACGGTGACCTTCAAAAGGGGCATCTAGATTGACGATGTACAGGAATCTGCGGCTAGGAGAACAACATCAACATTATAACAATGTAACAATATGGAAGCATTAGCACTGAGATAGAAGAGCAGTTTTGGAATTGCATATGATTTGCAAGCAGTGCTCCCCCAAAACCTAGATATACATGATTTTACCTCCTCTGAAATGCATACAAGTGACAAGAGTAACTCAAGCTGGCTGACAGGCGAAAGGGAGCAGTCTTCCTGTGACAGTCTACCTCCAGAGACGGTCTTCCGTACTGCCTCCATCCACGACAGTCTGACGTCTTCCCCTAGAATCAGCTCCAACCTGCCCTCTACTGGCCCTTCTCAAACCCCAGGTAGGATTAATCACTGCCTCCACAGTACTCTCAGTGCATGGTTTGCATTTGGACTGCAGCATTTATCTCTGTAGCGGGGCTACCAATGTTAAGGCCCTCGTCCTAATTCAACTGAGTGTTTAGAGTGTGGACCACCTCTTGAATATCTTTGTATACCCCATATCACTAGGCAGAGCTCTGTCCTCAAGGAATGAGTGTTAAATTAAATACATCACTTCTCACTGAGCCAAAATCCTGTAAAAAATCTCAAATTCCCTTCCAAGTTGACTACCTGGTGAAGAAAACTAAATCTGTCAGGAGGGAAAATAATAACCAAAAAAAAAAAAAAAAAAAGGAATAACATATTAAGTGCCAATAATGTCCAAGGTCCCAATCAATATAAAGGATCTGAAAACAGGAATGTCCTGTGTTCACCTATTTTCCTTTTATTTTAAGTAAAAAATCCTTGGTATGTGAATCAACATCTCTGCAACCATGTGCTATTGATTCTTCACTAGAGACCTCTCCAAACCCCTGGATATCAATGAGAATAGGGAGGTTCAAAACTGAAAAAAAGATTAATAGTCCCTTCTCAGAAGAGCTAGGAAATGGCACGTAAAACTCTAGGTGATAGCGAATTTCTAAGAAGGGATTGTTAAGGAAGAAGAAGAAAAGCATAGGGAAGACACAATTTCACAAAATTTCTGGGACTCCTAAGAAAGTTACTGAAAACAAAGATCTAGAACCTCTGGCCTCCTCCAAAGGAATCACCTGATCCTGTGGTGGGCAGACTGGCATCTTCCCATCAAAAAGAAAAATAGTACAGAGTACATGACAAAGATCTATACATATAGGGTATGTATCAGTAGGGCCATTCAGAGACAGTACAGAGTAAATGTAGAATAGCAGAAAGTGGGCACTTTTGGATGCCTGATGGAACATATGTGTTTATCTTCATTCCACTGAGAAGCCCCACTAAAATAAGAGTTAAAAAAAAAAAAGACAGAAACCCACAAAGACAAGGAAAATGAGAGAGGAACTGAAAAGCAGATGGATAAGTGGTAATTGATCTACAGTAAAGAAAGCTAAATAAAGCACCAGTGCATAGAGAGCAGAATCAGAAGCTGATTCACACTGCAGGGCCTGGCACCAGAAGCTTTGGTCTCAAGGCAAGGGTAAGGGGCAGGGCTGGAAAACAAAAGGCAAAACAAAACAAGTAGAATTGTCTGAAAGAGCACTACAGAGACTGGCTTACATGTACCCCCCACAGCCAGGTGACCACCTCTCTTTCACCCCAAGTGGAGAGTGGGTGCTGTTATTCCCTAGAGAAGCCTGGGCCTGGGACAAGAAGTATGGCAAAAGGGAAATGTGAGGTACGGTACCCAAAACAGGGGCCTGCAGTGAAATGTGAGGTGCTAGCCTCTTCCTCTATTCAGCACTCATGACAACTGCTGCCTTTTATTCTTTAGACAGAGATAGGAGGATTCTTCTCAGGAGAAAATTATCCACGAAAAAAAAAGTAAGCAAACACAAAACAACATAACCCTGGAGATCACGGCATTTGGGCATCCTCTAACAAAAGGGCCTGGTTCCCACCTGATCTCCCTATAGAGAACCCCACCACCTGCCAATGTAAATGGAGATTCCAATCATTCTTTAATAACAGAGTCAAGGATCTCGGTCACTGGAGGAAACCTGAAAGAGACCAAGCCAATCAAAAGAAAACAAAAGGAACTAAAAGGAAATAGGGATAATGAAAAGGTAAGAAAAAACTTTGGAATCAATATTCTCGGAGTAGTAAGAGAAGACAATCTAAAGAACAGAGCAAGAAAAAATTCTTGAAATTAAAATAATACTAGAAATTTCCCAAAATCTGATAGAAGGATTGTAAATTAAAGTTGAAGAAAACACCCAGACTGCAAAATAAAAAGACAAAAAGACCAGAAGAGAATCCATACAGGATATCCAACACTGACTTTCATCCAGAGAGAAAGAGGAGAAAAAAGGAGGGGAAAAAATTATCGAAGACATAATACAAGAAAATTTCTCCAAACTAAAAGACAGATTTCCAGACTGAAAGGGTCTTCCAAGGTGCCAAATAAAAAATATTCTACATCTTAATCCGAATAATGATTACATGAGTGTATATGTTTCTAAACTTATTTTAGCTATTCACTTAAAGTTTATGCACTCTCTATACTTTATTACACAAACTTTAAAATTCAATACAAGAAAATGAAGTGGAGAGCTTCAAGATCATGTTGAATAATAATATGGATGTGTGTGTGTATATATAAATATATATATCTAGGAAAACTTGCATCATTCCCAGTTACACAATTCTATTTCCTCCTAGAACACCTAATCCACGCCAGTAAATGCTGAGAAAACTAACATTTGAGCCATAGTTACTCAAAGGCACCTTAGAGTATTTTATAGGTCATTTATATGGCTCCATGATGCCACATGTATGTTATGCCTCTATTTGTTTAGATAAAACAATAATGTAAAAAAAGGAGGGGGCCTCTGAGTGCCCAGCACAATGAATGAAAAAAGACACACACCAAAGCAATTGTGGTGGAAATTTCACTAACACTGGAAATAAAGGTAGGATTTTAAAACTCCCAAAGAAATAAATAGGTCATGTACAAAGTCCAGAATCAGAATAGCATAGGAGCTCTCAACAATAACTCTAAGAAAAAGAACCCCAAATACAGATTTGACCAACGATTGTTATGTAACTACATTGGAAGAAGAAGGAAGGTCAGAAAGGTGTGTAAGGACCCACGGAGCAAAGTAAAAGTACAAAATCCTCATCTTCCATTGTAAGAAGTGAATTTATAATGCCTAAGATGGATAAATCAAGACATAGCAGTATATGCATACTATTTAGAAAAATAAAGGCAATCCAAAAGATACAGTTAAAAGAGTTTAAAGTAGGTACTTCTGTACTAGAGATGTAATAAATAAATAAAGTACGTACTTCTGTAGAGTGGGACGGGGGTGGTGGGAAGTGAGGTAGGAGACTGCTGTTTTACAGTATAAGCCTTATGATGCTACTGACTTTTTATACTATGTATAGGTACTTTCTTGATTAAAAAAAAATGCTGGTTAGATCCAAGATCAAGGATTCGGATCCCTATACAGGCTAGTCACCGAAACAAACAAACAAAATAAAATAAAATAAAAAGTGAGTAGGAGGGCCGGCCCGGTGGCGCACTGGAAAGTGCACTGCTTGGGAGTGCGGCGGCGCTCCCGCCGAGGGTTCGGATCCCATGTGGAGACCGGTTCCCGCTCACTGGCTGAGCGCGGTGCGGGCACAACACCGAGGGTTGCGATCCCGTTGCCGGTCCCCGGTACGGGTGCGACACCGAGGGTTGAGATCCCGTTACCGGTCAGTAAAAAAAGACAGAAAGGAAAAAAAAAAAAAAAAAAAGTGAGTAGGAAATTGATAATGTTCCATACCAAAAACCATTGAATCACACACTTTAAATGGGTGAATTACATGGCATGTTAATTATATCTCAATAAAGCTGTTTTTTAAAAATTGAGTACGGTGCTAGAGGCAGGAAAGAAACATACCAATATTTCCTTATCTATGCACCCAGTGTAACACAAGGAAATGGTATTAATAATTGTCTCTGCCCTAACAGGTAAGCAATAAATTCCTTTAAAATTTTAGTGACCAGTAATTTGGTCTTGAAGGAGGTCAGAGGTAGAGGGAAACTTATTTTCATTGTTATCCTTTTGAACTATTTTAATGTTTGCCATGTGCATGTGGTTTTCTTTAAAGTAAATTAAAATATTTCAAAATAAAATAATGAAGCTAAAAGGAAAAAATAATACAGCCTGCAGCCATAAAATAAAAAAAGAAAATAGTTTTATTGATTTGTAAATGGGTTCATAAACAAGTAAGTTTACGAAGACAGAGGGGATGCTGATAACACCAAGGTCAAGAGTTCGGATCCCTATAACAGCCAGCTGCCAAAAAAAAACTATGATCATAACCCTTAAATAGAAGAACATTTTGCAATTTCCCAGAAACCTCCCAATTTGCAATTTGTTCCCCAGAAACAGCGGCAGACAAACCCTGGAAGCTCACTTACCCAGAAAGCACTGCATGCTGTCCCAGACAGTCCACAGACATTGCAGTTGCCTATGAGAGAGAACATAGATTCAGTCCTGCCAGCAAACACAGCAGGCTGGAGAAGATGGAGGCCCTTTAATTCTCCCTCTTCCCCTCTCCCAGGCAGTCCCCAGCTAGCAAGTATCATTGGATCTCTGCAGTGGACACTTTTACTCCCTTGTCATTCCCACCCAAATCTCACATTCACTCTGACAATAGGGCAGTTGCTGTTACTCCCCACACCAAGTTGGCACATTCTAGATTGAGCAGACAGAAGTCCTGGAGCTCTTGAGGAGTCTATTTAGCTCAAAGCAGACAGCTCTGCAAATAATCTCTATAAGTCACCATGCACAAAGAGCCTCTTTGAACTGGAACCTAACCTGGGACATCCTCCCCCACCACACACACACATACACATAACACAAACCAAAGGTCATGGACTTCTCCTCAAGCCATATGGCAGTTGGCAATATTCAAACATCATCCCCGCTGAATCCAAGGTCATATTCTTGTTACTGAGATGCCCAGTTTACATGCAATCTGAAAATTCTAGCACGTTTTTCTGGTTTCCATTTCTCAGATCTCCCAATTATCAGGAAGCACCACCATTTCAGGACCCAAGTCTAATTCCCAAAAGACTGCATGGACTCAAATGAATGTGCATTCAGGCTGAAGCACAAGGCTGATTTTAATCCTGGCAGTTACAGCCCTAAATTCTCTTATGTGGACAAATTCAAATCCTGCTGCATTCTCATGGCATTATCATGAAACAATTTGTGCCATTCTTTGGTTATTCAATGTTCTAAGTTCTCTCTAAGAGAGTATCAAAAGAGAATCCATTTTGCACTTTCTGCCACGATCACAAATCACAACTGGTAAACAGAAATTCTCTCCCTCACCCTCACTGGCCTATTTAATCAGTTTCTCACACTTGTCTACCCTCAAGAAAACTGTCATTAGTAAAACTGGGGAGAAGCCAGAGTATTCTCCCCAGAGGCTGAAAAGTGATTAATATGCATCCTTTGTTGCACTAGAGTAGTGAGCAGAGAAAAGCCTGGCTGGAAATGCATACAGTGAAATGAGACGCTATTTCCAGAACTCTCCTGTGCAATTTATAGATTGGTAGCATGAAAGAGGGCAAAATGGTTTCTCCAGCAAGGGGCAATATAATCTTTCCAGAGCGTATGTAGTATGCTGAATCCTGACATGGCCCCCATGATTCTGGGCCCTGGGTACATACATACCTTCTCCCTGCCATTCAACACTAATCTGGATACTGCTGTGAAGGAATTTTATAGATGTAATTAAGGTCTCAAATCAGTTGACCTTGAGATAGAGACCTGAAACAACTGAAATGTCCATCGGTGAATGAACGGATAAACAAAATGTGCCACAGACATACAATGGAATATTACTCAGCCTTAAAAAGGAAGGAAATTCTGACACTGACTACAACATGGATGAACCTTGAAAACATTAAGCTAAGTGACATATGCCAGACACAAAAGGACAAATATTGTATGACTCCACCTAAAACAGGCAAATTCAAAGAAACAGAAAGTAACATAAAGGTTGCCAGGGGGAGTGGAGAATGGGGAGTTATGGTTTAATGGATACAGAGCTTCTATTTGGGATGATGAAAAATTAGATGCTGGGGGGATTGGGAGACCTAATCTCATCAGTCCTCTAAGTCTAGATCTAGAGGGCAAAGACAGAGGAAGTCAGAGATTAAAAGGGTGGGGATTCAACATGAAGAAGATTGTCCATTGCTGGCTGTGAAGGTGGAGGGGACAAACGGTAAGGACCTGAGAGTGGCATTTAGCAGCTGAGAGCAACCCCTAAATAACAACCAGCAAGAAAACAGGAACCTCAGGTCTACAACCCTTAGAAACTGAATTTTGTCAACAACCTGAACCTTGGAAGTAGATTCTTTCCAAGTGAAGCCTCAGATGAGAACATAGCTGCCTGATACCTTGATTTCATCCTGTGAGACCACTTAACAAAGAAATCAGCCATGCAGTGCCTGGACTTCTGACCTACAGAACTGTGAGCTAATAAGTGGGAATTGTTTTAAGCTGCTAAATTTGTGGTATATAGTAATAGAATAAGCATGATCTGGCAATACTCCAAAAGGGTCACACCCTTTGACTCAGTAATTCCACCTCCATAATCTATCCAAAATACGGCAAAAGTTTTATGCACAGAGTTGCTTATTTCATGTTGTCTATAAGTAAATAATACATATCCATACAATGGAATATTCTGGAAGCATTAAAAAATGACATGAAGGGTGGCCAGTTAGTTCAGTTGGTTAGAGCATGGTGTTATAACGCCAAGACCAAGGGTTCAGAGCCCCCATACCAGCCAGCCAACAACAAGAAATGAAAAATGCATTGGTTAAAACTACAAATAGAATATCAAAACTCACCATATCAGGGCAAGTTATTTTTAAAAAGAAAAACCACCATCACAACAACAGCTAAGTCATTTTCCCACACCTACCCGAGAAAAAAAGAGGCTACCACTGTGTTTTGTTTCGTTTTTTAATGACTGTGTTATAGGAGCACATTAAGAAGGGTTATGCTAAGCTGCCCCAAAGAGGGAATAGAGAGGGAAAGCACTTGGAGCAGAGGAAGTAAAAACAACCCGACCAGAGAACAAGTTGACGCTTTCTGGGGTGCAGGAGTCTACACCCAAGGCCTCACCACCCTCTGCACACCAGATGGGAAATGGCTGGAAGATGCTAAGTCTAGACATCAGGGGGTTAAGAACCATGGGACTTGGAATTCTTGTATGACCCCACTGCAAGAGAAGAAAGGAACTCTGCAATGACTAATACAGAATTTCCTACCAGCCTGCAGGAAGGAGCTTGCTGTGGATTAAAGACAGGTTAGAGAAGTAAAGGAAAGTGCTATTTTATACCCTACTACGAACTAAAACTTACATTGACCATCTATAAATACATTCCTAAGAAAAACACTTAAGTGGGTTGGCTGGTTTGCTCACTTGGTTACAGCATGGTGCTGATAACACCAAGGTCAAGGGTTTAGATCCCCTTACTGGCCAGCTGCCAAAAAAAAAAAAAAGCACTGAATGAAAGAATATCAAAGTGTTTAAAAGGTAGTTGTCCCTGGATATGTTAATTAGCTTACTTTAATTATTCCACATTGTATTCATAAATCATAACATCAGTCTGTACCCCATAAATATACACAATTATAAATGATCAATTTACGATAAAAAAAAACTTTTAAGGGGCCGGCCCGGTGGCGCACTGCTACAGTGCGCCGCTTGGGAGTTCGGCGGCGCTCCCGCCGAGGGTTCGGATCCCACATACAGACTGGTTCCCGCTCCCTGGCTGAGCGAGGTGCAGACGCAGCACCAAGGGTTGCGATCCCGTTGCCGGTCCCGGTCCGGTACGGGCGCGACACTGAGGGTTGCGATCCGTTGCCGGTCACGAAAAAAGACAAAAGGAAAAAAAAAAAAAAAACTTTTAAGGTAGTTGTTCCTATAGGGTTTTTATTTTATTCTTCTAAATGAGCCTACATTTTTGTATTATTTATGTATCTATATTATTTAATAATAAGAAATGATTTTTTTTTTTTAATGGCATTCAAGTCTCTTCTATTTCCACTCCTATCCTCCTGGCCCAGCCCCTCAATGTCTGTAGCCTTGTCTACAGCAACAACTTCCAATTGGTCACTCTACTTTTTCCATCTTATCTAATTCTAAAACTTCTAAAAACAGAGTTCTGAGTATATCAATTCACTGCTAAAAAAACCTTTGCTGATTTTCACTTTGAATAGAATCAGGTGTAAACTGCTCAGTCTTCAAACCCTTCCAAATTAGAGTTTTACTGCACCGCTCAATCTGAGCCCTCACTCTGCTCAAGCCATGCCAGTCCACAGAACACACCTTTCTCCAGGAGGGTTAGCAACTCTCCCAACTCTGGAGAGACACTTAAGCTCTTCCCTCCTCCTGGAAAGTCCTTCTCCTATTTTACTGCTGAAATTCTACTCATCTTTTAAGTCTCAAGACACACTTTTAAGAAGCTCTCCCAGAGTCCTCCAAGCATATTCAATCTTCACTGAAAGCTCTTCTCTGCTCCTCTGTCACAGGACTTGCCACACCTTGCTTTGTGGTAGTGGTTGCTGGACAGTTTTCTTCTCCCTCTACTTGATGAGCCCCTGCAGGGCACAGTCTATTTCATTTCTCCCAGAGAACCCAATGGGTGCTTTGTGCACAGACGTGCTCTGTAAACATCTGCCCTATTAAGATAGTAGGTCAGAACCAGGTCAAAATCAGGGTCCCTTCAGCTCATAATGTGCCAAGGTGCTCCTTGACACTTCTAAGAACTTTTTAGTAGTTTCCCTTGATAATTTATCACCCATCAATTTATCTACACTTCTAAAGTCCCTTCGCTTCTTTAACACCTCCTAGGATAATAATCTTCAGTAGCTCACTGCCTGCTGTGTGAGATCTTCTACTAGAACAGTGAACTGGACAAAATTTTGTGTGCATTAACCACATGGTTTATAATGTAAAATTTCAATGAGATCCTCTTTTTTTCTCTTTTAGTTTTTTCCTTTTATATATATATATTTTTCTTTTTCCATTTTTAAATTCTATTTATTTTCCCTTTTGTTTTGGTTTTTTTTTTTCTTAATCAAATCCTCTTTCAACCTTTGTTTTCCCACATTAAAAAGTCCTCTCCGGGCTGGCCTGTGGCTCACTCGGGAGAGTGTGGTGCAGATAACACCAAGGCCACGGGTTTGGATCCCATATAGGGATGGCCGGTTTGCTCACTGGGTGAGTGTGGTGCTGACTACACCAAGTCAAGGGTTAAGATCCCCTTACCGGTCATCTTTTAAAAAAAAAAAAAGTCCTCTCCCACCTGTAGGAAAATACACTTACTGTTCAGGATTGCTCTCTGTCAAATGAGACATTATTCAACAGAAAAGAGAATAAGGTTCATCTTAAGAGCCCTTGTTCCTTCAACTGCAAGAAGGGTGGTGGCTTTTGTGACACTA